GGTGGTAATGGCGGAAAAGGTCACGAGAAAAAAGGGAGAAAGTATACTGGTGGTGGTGGGGTGGGAATTGGTTTTGGTGGTAGTGGCGGTGGTGGTGGTGGGGTGGGAATTGGTTTTGGTGGTAGTGGCGGTGGTGGCATTGGTGGGGGTGGTGGTGCTGGAGGGGGTATTGGCGGAGGAATTGGTGGAGGTGGTGGCGCTGGAGGAGGTATTGGCGGAGGAATTGGTGGAGGTGAAGGAATCGGGGGAGGTATTGGCAAAGGAATTGGTGGGGGAATAGGTGCTGGTGGAGGAATTGGTGTTGGAATTGGTGTTGGTGGTGGAATTGGTATTGGCATTGGAGGCAGTGGTGGAGGTGGTGGAGGAGGAGCAGGTGGTGGCATCGGAGGAGGAGGTGCAGGAGGTGGTGGAGGAGTGGGAGTAGGTGGTCCAAGAGGTGGAGGAATTAGTGTAGGTGTTGGAATTGGTGGAAGTGGAGGTGGTGGCAGTGGCAGTGGCGGCAGCGGCGGTGGAACCAGTGGAGCAATCTTGAGTGGAGAGACCAAGCAACCTTAAGACTTGCAATGCTAGTAATTTGCTTTTCTTTCATTCATCAAATGCATTAAATCCACGTAACTTATGTAATCTCTCTATTTGTGCCCTTTGTACCTTTCTAAACACCAAAGTTGTTTGTAAAGCACTGTGTGAAAATGTTATCTTTGGTTGGTTCATTCTAAATTGTTTGTACACTTTTATCATTCTTGTAAGCCATCTCATTTCAATAATCAATGGCAATTATTCTCAAACGGTTATCTTTTGATTGTTGCGTTTCGATTAGACCTGGCAAAAAATTGATCCAACCCCAAAAAATAGGGTTAGGGTCTCATGTGTTAGCTATCTGAATGTGAGAATGACCTGACCCAATCCAACCCAAAAAAAACTGGGTTGGGTCATGGTTCAACTCGTTGGCCCGATTGTCAAGTCTAATTGGGACTATTTATGCATTGTTAGAAGTTTCCACTCTTTAATTTTTTCAATTTAGTCTTTACTCTTTAACTTGTTAAATGTTCAACTTTTTTTTTATTTTAAATTTGGAATTTTAAGATTAATTTCTTTAATTTTGGCAATTTTCATGTAGTTTTTCTTTATTTTTTAAATTTCAGTTATTTTTTGGGATGACCCAAATTGACCCATGGGTCAACCATAACTTGAACATTTAGGGTTAGGGTCTAGCATTTGATAACCCAACCCGAAATCAACCCGAAGTGTCTTGACCCAACCCGAACCTAACCCACTCAACCCAATTGCCAGGTCTAGTTTCGATACATTGGAACAGGTGTACTTATACTAAATTTAACACTTTTATTGTTTTAGTTTTTTTTTTCTCAAAATTTTAATGTATGACCATCTTTATGTTATTTAATTATTAAAACAAAAAAATTCCTAAAAATTAGTGGAGCCCATAAGATACACAGGTTTTGTTATGCAATAACATATAAAAATTCATTATAGTAAATTTTGTTAATTTTAGAAAATTAAATAACAATAATTTATTGATATTTTATGACATTTTCAATATTAATTGAATAACAATAAATTACAATAGTTTCAAAATTAATTACAAGATTTAGAAAAAATAATTTACCACAAATGATTAGCAAAATTAATTTTGCAAAATTATCAAAACAAACTATTAATTTTCAGTAAACTTGCATATTTAGTTATTGGTTGAATTTTCACTACATTAATATTTTTAAATAAACAAATTATACAAAAGGTTTATGACATTTCTAAATAAAAGTTATGAAATTTACCAAAAATAATTTACCACAATTAATGATCAAAATTACCAAAATTCATTACCAATATTACCAAAAATATCTTTGCAAAATTGTCAAAGCAAATTATTATTTTTAGGTAAAAATTTTACTTAAACTAATTTTTGGTAATTATTAACTTTTGATAAATAGATCATTTAACAAAATTATAAATAAATAATTATAGTAAATGAAAATAACAATAATTTCTGTTAATTGAAAAAAAGAAGAAGAAAACAATATATGTTAATTAAATAACAATAAATTTCACTAATTTCTGATGATTTTCAAAAATTAGTGATTACAAATAAAAAAATAACAGTAAATAAAAATTAAAGGTTAAACAACAACAATATCAATTAATAGTAAACTGCAGTAATTTTTTAATTTCTAAAATTGAATAATGAGAATTTATTGATATTTTTTTTTGTAATTGTCAATAATTAATTAAATAAAAATAGATTACAATAGTTTCAAAATTAATGATAAAACTTACAAAAAAAATATAATGTACTATGTACCACGCTTAAGTATCAAAATTACCGATATTACCGAAATTATATGTGCAAAGTTACCAAAACAAATTATTATTTTTTGGTAAATAAATTTTACTCAAGTATTTGTAAATTTCGAGAATTGTTAATTTTTGTTAAATTATAATTGAATACATAAATTAATGAATCAAATTTTGTAGATCGAGTTTCCATATTCTCTTTTGGTAGAACATCGAATTTGGATATACCTATCCGAATTCGTCAATCTATTTGCAGCCCCATTCCATATATTAAACTCGTGGCCTATGCATTATAGTTGCAATCTTGCTTAATCAAAGGAGAAAGAAACTGATTTTGGGTTAGATCAAACTCTCGGACCCATGGGCCAGTCCACACAAATACGCTCCAACCTAAACATCTACGGGGCTGGTCCTAGATTATCTTATCTATTTATCTATATATATTATAAGACGGTCCACGTTATCATGCATCTCCTTGTTCTATTATCCTTATTATGCATTCTCTTTGGCTCTCTCTCCTCCCCTTTCCCATCACTCTCAAACGGCCAAATCAGCAACCCCATTATACATCTCAACTTATATTCACGTTTCACGTTCCAAGTTATTAAGATATCTAACTTCACGTTTCACGTTCCAGAGAAAGGCATCTTTAAGAATCGTAATATATATGGAAAAGGGAATAAAGATCCTGATTTATATAAATCCAAAATCAATGTAATGATAAAAAGAAATCGATGTTTAGTAAGTAGCGTAGGTCGGTAGGATTCAATAATCTTGCCATTGTCACATTCTTCTTCCCATAAAACACTACCCACTCTTGCATTCCTAGAAATCGACACTCTTCCATTCCCAGAAACCGGCGGTACTTTACCTTTGTTTTCTGCCATAGTTCAAGAGACGATGGAGTCTATTAGCCTTCTTAGCATCGCTTTTAACCATCTTTTTCTTCTCTACTAACAGGGGGTACATTACCCAGTCTATTGACACAGTCCGATCGTTCCTATCGTTCTTGGATGAAGGTTACATTAGTCTTTTTTGGATGCACTATGTAGACCTGTGAAGACCTCCCTGTAAAGACCTCCATTCAGTTTTTTGGACGCACTGTGAAGACCTCTTTGTGAATAGACCAATTCATGGGCTAGATAGCCCCCCATGGCCCGGTCTGATATTTTTCGGGTTTAGACAAAATTTTAGGCCCATGAACTCGGGCTCGGGCTTTTTCAAGTAAGTCTAACCCGACCTGATACTATTATATATAATAGAAATATACATTTTTATATATAATATGCATTTATTTATAAAATTATTATCAAATATTAATTTTTTATTCAGGAAATATGAATTAATTACATAAAAAATAGGACATTTTATGTGCAGATTGGGCTTCGGGCTTTATATAAGGGCTGAGCTTGGGCTCAAGATCTAGGCCCGAAGGTCAGGCCAGGCTCGAGTTCAGGTCTGGACATTTTCTGTTGATAAAGAGGCAAAGCCCAGCCCAAACCCAGCCTGGCCCAACCCGTGAACAGGTTTATTTGTGAATAGGCCTGTTCATGGACTAGATAAGCCCGACGGTCTGGCCCGGCCCAGCCTGTTATAAGTCGGGCTTGGTCATAATTTTAGGCCTGCGGGTTCAGGCTCGGGCCTAAAGCACCAGGCTTGACTTTTTCCGAACTGGGCTTGAGCTTTCTCAAAAAAGCTCGGCCCGAGCCCAACTTGATACTTTATATTAAATAATAAAAATATATTTTATTTAATAAATATATATATATATATATATACAATATTTTTTTTTGTTGTTCTTCTCTTTTTTTCCAAGTAATAGTGAGATGTTTATTAGTTTTTAGTTTTGAAGATTTTTAATATAAATAAAATATTTTTTTATTGAATAAAAAAAAAATTTCTGTTTTCAAATTTCTGGCCAGACTTGGGCTTAGGCCCAGGCTCGAGCTCAAGACCTAGGCCCGACTGTTAGGCCAGACTCGAGCTCGGGCCTGAGTGTATTCTATGATACATATACAAAACCCGGCCTGGCCCGACCCATGAACAGGTATATCTATGAATAAGTCTCCCAAATTTCGTGCTCATTGAGAGAATATGGTATATGTGTGTTTTAGTATTGGTAAATGAAAACAGACTTTTCATGATTTGAATTTGACCATCAACTCCTCTAATAGTTATACTGTCGTGGCTCTCCATTTCTTTATAACGGGGTGAAGATGATGGCCACATTTCGGTTAATGGGTCAAGTCATAAAAATCCAGAAAATTAATTAAATCAGTAAATTTCCACCGAAACTATAGATTTCAGTAATTAATATTTATAATAATTATATATTTTAACTAACTATCGTATTTTAGTTATGTTCACTAATTAAATTATTTTCAATAATTTTAATATTTTTTATTTTTTTAATTAATTGATATTTTTGGTAATTAGTATACTTAGTAATTAAAAAATTCAGTATTTCTAATAATTTTAGTTATTTTATTTACTTTTATTTTCAGATGTTTTATAATATTATCAGTTATTAATCATTACATTCAGTAATTAATATTTTTAATAATATAATTAAATAATATTAAATACTGAAAGCAGTAATTAGTTATTTTCAATAAATAATATTTATAGTAAGGGTAAATTACAAAGACACCCCTGTACTATGGGGTCTGTGATAAAGAACCCGCTGTACTTTGCTTTGCGATAAAACCTCCTTTACTTTGACCGTGAGACAAAGACCCCTTTCCGTTAATTTTTCGTTTAAATCTACCGTTTTAATCCCCATAATACCCTTTTAATAAATATTGGAAGGGAGAAAAGTACTGTTTCTCTTCTCTAACCTCGCGATATAGAAACAGCAGCGGCGACAAAGATGGGTCATCATCGTGGCAAATGGATTGCCATCCGTCGTCGATGAGCACCAGTCCCAGCGGGCAACCGCCCTCCACCAGACCCTTCACCCCCTCCCACACTCCACCAGGATGTACGTTAAGATAAAAGGCATCCCAGGTGCACCAACCAAACTTGTCTACTATTCCTGGAGGAGCCTTCTCGTCCAGGAGTTCGAAGGTTCCTAGGTGAACCCTCACCTCCTTCATTGCGTCTTTAACAAGACTATACGGATCATCTCCGACATGCATGTACAGTGAGCTCCTGAAGCTTGAGCTTGTCACTTGTGTGTGTCGACCCGCTCTCTACACAAAGGCCCAAGTTGTCGTCGTCGCCTGGGTGGAGAGAAGCATGGAATG